GCATTTCTCTCATTTTCCTTTATCTTTGTTTCGCACTTGTTTGTGCTGCGCTCTGCCTTCCACACATGTGTATTTATGTGAATTATTTATTTACTTAGAATTAATTTTGTGTGCATGCCACAGCGCAGCGGCGTCGTCGTTGCATGTTAAGTTGCTTTGCTGTTGTTATTATTTTCCATTTTGCTTGAACTTTCGCCAAGAATCTTCTGTATAAATGCATAGTATAAATTTTAATGGCATCAAATTAAGATGTAGTGCAATCATATTCGCATTCGTGCGCTCCATCTATTGTTTATATGCAATTTGTCTGTGTGTGTGTGCATACTTGCGGCAGGTAATTCCACCGTTGCAGCCGCTTGTGTTGACAGCAACAACTAACATTTCGCCTGAATTTCGTTTGTCTGCCAGCAAAGTGGCGCAATTCAGTGTTGCTTGCTGTTGTTGTTGTATGGTGTTTTGATGTATCATTATTTCGAGCGTGCATAGCGCGAATCTCAAGTCAACTGCATATAAATTCTTAGTCTTTATAGAGTTCCCAGCATGATTATCTTTCGGTTGGTAGCCGCGCTTCACTTTTAGTGTGTACTGTATGCCATGCGGCGCCTTCCGTTTTCCGTGAAACTTTCCGTGAAAAGTGTTGCATGCCGGTGATTTGCTATTACTAAAGGACAATTTCTATGCACTTGATGCTTTAAAGGCTTTAAATTTTAAATCTCGTTTTCTCATAGTGAAGAACTAAAGATTTGTTTAGCAAACGAAAAATATTTTAATGAACACTAGTATAAAAAAATTAATTATAAAACTGAAATAATTATTCAGAAATAAATTTTTCCGATTTTCGGTTACTCTCTAACAGAGTTGCAAAAAATGCAATACAAAATAATTGAAACAACATTTAGATTAAATTTTTTTGATATTTATAGTCCCGAAAAAATTGATTAAAAATTATTTTCATATTACTAATCCCGAATAGTTGATTGAAAAATTAAAAATTTTAATCCCAAGTTCATAATAATAAATTGAAAAAAAATGTTTTTGATTTACTTTTTTTAGCGCTTGCGTAAATCCTTTAAAAATTGAATTTTCAATTTATAATTCCGATGTTGAAATAAAAAATTTAATTTCCCAAACATTTTGGAGATTTAAAAATAAAAATTAAATTTTGAATTTTAATCCACAATTCTTTTAATTAAAGTAATCGTAACTCTGCTCTCTACCCTCATTTTTTCACCAAACTCCTCACCCAAGCTTAAACATTTAGCAGGTTATTGTTGCTTTGCTGTTGTAAACATAAAAAATATAATTTCAATTCAATTTAATCCAATTTACTGACAACAGCTGCTACAAGCGCAACTTCAATTTCACATACATATATATTTATATTTGTCTATATGTATTCAATTCCTTTTTGCGCATAAAAAATTATAACAACAAATTACTCGCATCTCCGTTTTTGTAATTGTGCAATTATTCTTCTTCTTCTTTGCAATGTGTTATCAGTGCTATTTTTATTTGTTTTCTATTATTTATGCTATTCTATACGTTGCTGTTGTTGTTGTCCGTTTGGCTGTTGCAAATTTTTACTCTCGTCTACTCCATTTAATGCAATTATTGCTGCCACAGTTTTATATCTCCTTCCATGCATATATTTATTTATGTGTAGACATACATATGTATATAAATTATACATGTATGTGTGTATATGTGTATTTATGATGCCTGACAGTCTCTCCGCTGCAACTATTTCCCATATGATATGATCTTTATACTTGTTATTGGTCGGTGTGGCAAGTTCATTTCTAAGAATTCTTATGAGGTATTACATACACACACACACACATATGCATATATATGGTTACATAATTAAATATATGTTTGTTTAAGCACTTAAAATCCATCCTCCCATTCCGTCAGCAGTGAGTCGAGACTAACCGTCAACCCATATATGTTATGTAGACGCTCTGCTACAAACCACTGTTAGTTTAGTTGGTGCAGTTGCAAGATGAATTTGTAATAAATTTTATTTTCTCACTATTTACTTTATTTTTAGTATGCATTTTCCTTTATTTCTTCTTTCTTTCAAGCAGCTTCTTTACTTTTTTCCATGCACAAATATATGTTTATATGCACATGTGTGCCTGCTTATGCTTGGCAGTATAATATAATATATAATTGTATCGGTCGTAAAAGCCATTGCATGTAGGTATAATGCAGTTTTCGTTGCACAGCTTGCAAATTGTTTGATCTTTAAGAAGTGACTTAATGTGCGTTGCCAGCCAGTGAGTTGTTTCCTGTGCATACAAAATTATGTAGTTAAGTGCATCATACACAAATTCATGCAAATATATACACACACATATGCATAGATATATGGGAAAATATATTTATACAGGTTATTTGATAGCCACACATTTTAAGTCAACCAAGTCAGTTGGTTATTGGGTCTTCGGCTAGAGCAAAGTTCATGGCAAGGTAGTAGATTTAAGTTATGAAGAGTCTCATCGGTTTTTACATAAATATTTGGAAAAAAAACTGAACTTTTTATTGACAATTTTATGTTAGTTGGCTAATTAAGTTTGCCCCAATATTTCTCGATGCAGAAAAAGTAGCTAATAATATTGGTTAAAGCACTTTTGTTTCATAGTATATTAAAACCTCTAATATTTGTTTTTAATAAAAAAAATAGGCTAACTAATCAAACGATAGCTTAAACGTTAACAAAGTTAATATTTATTAAGCTGTAACACTTGTAACACAATAAGCATGCAGCGTTGCCTACATTTAGGCACGATTACATAGAAAAATTTTACTGATTTTGTTTATTATAAAAAGTGATGAAATTCCAATATAATGACATTTATCAAGTAGGCATGTTTATTTATATATGCAAATATTGCCTACATTTAGGCGCAATATCCCTTTAAGCGCTCATGCGCTTATTATGCTAATAGATTACAACCGATTTTAATGTAGAAAGGAATAGTAGATGAAAGCTGCCACTTAATAATACTAACAAAAAACTTTCAAAGTATATAAAAAATACATGAAAAGGAAATATTTAAAATCATAAAAAATTAAAAAAAATAATAAGTTTTAAAATACATAAAACGGAAATAATTCAAAAAAATAAAATTTTAACAAAAAATAAATTAAATGTAAATATTAAAAAATAAAAATAACAAAAATTTTATATATGTTGTGAATACATAGAAATAAAAAGGGAAAAATTAATAAACAAAAATGAATAATAATGATACGTAATAACAATAAAATAGTAAAAATAGCAAACAAAGGCCACCTAAAATAAAATCCGTTAATTTTGTTTACCGTGATAAAAAATTTCAAGCAATGCTTAACAGCACAAAACAAATTCTAAATTTAATAAAACTTACATTTTAGGCGTAAAAACTTTTGAAAATAATATTTTTACTTCAAAACACATATAAAATAAATGTTGGTCTGCAAATTCATCTGTCATTTTTTAAAAAAAAAAAAAAAATAAACAATAAATTGCATAGAAATAACAACATCTTTGATATTTGAAACAAAATGTCACCATTCGGCTATCAAACGCATAAAATGAAAGACTTAAGGCACGAACCTACTTCAAGATTAACTGCTGAAGCAGCCGTTTGCTGGCATTGCCACCACAATCGTTGCTGCATCGGCATTGTTGCCTTACGCTATTAGCAAAGCAAAGCTAATATGCGAATTTTATGCGCAAACAGGTTCGACTTTGTGACCCACTGTGTGAGGTTTTAACAATATTAAAAATATCAATGCGAAAGATTAAATTAAATTAAATACAACAAAGTAAAATGATTATTAACAACATCGCCACTTCAACAACGTGACTGTAATTTAACACAAGCAACACCTTTCCTGCTGCTACAGCAAGCACACCATGGCAACCGACGAATAAGTTGTTGCAATCCAAAACAGCTTGACACAATCTGTCAGCGCAGAACAATTTGTTAGCGGCAATCTTACATGCATGTGTTACCACCAACAAGTCAGCCAGGCACATACATACACTCTAACACACACACACACAAGTTTTTGCTGTTGCTGCTCGCATTCAAATTGTCGGCTTTTCCATTGTTGCAAGTTCACATTCTACAAGTTCATTACGTACACACACATATTCTTGTTGTGCGCTGCTGCATGCAACGATTAACAACGCAACAACAACAACAAGCTGATATTTGATTTGATGAAGTGAACTAACATTTGCTGTACAAATGTGTTGCATTCTTTTTGCACTCCGATGTTGTTTGTTGTTGTACCCCATCCGCGTCTGCGGCTGGTTGCCACTTTTGCCGCTTCATTGTAATTGTTTTTGTTTTTGTTGCAGCATGTTGCAGCTATTACGTGATAATGACATGTTGCCAAAGTTAACTGGATTACTGTACACTTGTCATGCTGTTGTTGTTATTTCGTTCTTATGCGCTATGTGTGCGTGAAATGTGTATATGTTGTATATGTATGTGTGTGTGTGTGAGTACTTGTGTACATTTTTAGATATCTTTATTGCCATTTTTGTTATTTATAGCGGCAACTCTCCGCAATATATATATAATAGCTTTCTTTGTCAATCTCATTCGCATTGTCTGCGTTGTTTATTTGTATTAATGTTAATTCTGGATGCAAGTATTTTTATGTCATATTTGGGGATATGAGAAACAATTTTAAGTGCATGTCAGTACAATTATGAGGAATTGAAATAAAATATTATATATAATTTTTATAAAAAAATTTAACAAAAAAAACAAATGTATAAAAAAAGTGTATTAAACAATTTATAAAAAATTGTATCAAAAAATTTATAAAAAATTTTATCAAAAAAATTATAAAAAAATTTTATAAAATATTTATAAAAATTTTAAAATTTATTTTATTTTTTTATATTTTTATTTATTTAAAAATAAAAATTTTTTTTTAATATTTATTATTTTTTAAATTTTTACTAATCAATGTCTGCTTTTATCTTATCATTTTAGCTCCCCTACAAGATGCAACTGAAATTCAACAATACACAGGTACGTACAATTAAGAATAAATAAATGATAAAATAATTAAAAGCACACAATTAAGAAACTACTATTAAAAACTCTCTGACGTGATCTAAATTTCTGCCATATAATATCACCAAAGATAATAAATAAATAGAAATATTCACAGATAATGTGATTTACCTGAAAACTAGAGGAGGACAAAACTCGATGCAAGTTCACAAACATGATAAATTTTCGGTCTCCTCATTAGTAGCTTTTGTATTTTTGACCGTTTTGAATATAGATCTTATTACTTCAACTGCCATTTGCTGAAGTAGCAACCTTAAACAATATGACCAACGTGAACAGCTATAAAACTAGACTTATTCGAAAGGTTTTGAACCATAAATATAGTTCATATTAAATTATCACTGGAAAATTATCTTGAAAACTGAAATCTGACAGATTAAACCAGCTTTTGCTTTGATGTCGTATGTATCTTTTTTCAGCAACTAAAACGAACAGATAACTTCAGCATTTATTAATCTAAGTTTAAAAATAGTTTGAAATATGTCCTTTACATTTTTACAGTTGTAATCTAAGTATAGATTGCTCTATTTCAATCCTCTATGCGAGATCTGAATAAGAAATAATTATGAACAACTTTATCGTTGAGTCATGTAAAGCTCTTTTCGATCGATTCTTAGGGGGAAAGGGACGTGCGCAAAATTTCAGATCACGTCTGTGATAATTCCACCGCAAATTTTTACGAAGCTATATTACCAAAAAATACTCGTAGGCTCAAAATTACTTATCGAGTGTCGAAAAATTTCGAGCTTTTGTCGTGAACAAATTTTCAACTGATAGTTTGGAAGTAAATATAAAATTAAAATTAAACCAAGAAAATAAAAATAAATTAAAAACTCAAATGCTTTAGATAAGTGTAGTAAATGCACTAACTGTCCGAATGCTTATAACAGTCACACCTACCTAACCAAATCTAACAGCAAAAAGCACAATAATAATGACATTAGCTTGTCTGATCGCTATAACTTTTCTACGTAACATACATACATACATACAAACACATAGAGAACTACATTAAGCGCCAATCCATTTGACAGCTCAGTTCATTCAGTTGCTCATAAGCGTATAGACGAGCTGTGAAAATCAGCACACAATCACAACTTCAACTGCTTGTCTATCTACCACCACCCGCTCAGCAATCGTAAATTATGGTTTACTTTTATGGCATTTTATTGCAACGTGCGCTATTCTATTTTTATTACTACGAGTATACTTTGTTAAATTTTTTATTTATTTGCTTTGCAAGTTTTTTTATTTGATACAAAACTGTTTAAACGCAAGTTCGCCGCCGCCACTTAAAGTGCCATTTAATATTTGTTTGCGTTGTCAGTGAGTTATGACAATTCACTTTTGTTCATTATTTCAGTGTTTCATTGTCTAATTGTTGACAAATGATACTAAACTGTAAATTTGCATGCTCTTCTCTCCTCTCGTATTCTTGTTCACGTGCCTTCATAAATCATAAATTATTCTCACACAACATATTTATTTGGCTGTTCACACGTTTTGTTTGCAGTAATGTGTATGTGTGTGTGTGTGTTGTGGGCGGCTATGAACACTAATCAGCTGCTCGTTATTGTATGTAAATAACGTTTTTTTGCCTTTTTTGTTGGCTTAGACATTAATGTGGTCGCGTGTTGTTGGGCCAAATAGCTTACTAATTTATTACATTTGTAGTATTTGTTGTTGTTGCAGTGTTAATATAGTGCGCGTCGGTAATTACAATTACATTATGCGTCAGATTAATTAAGTGTAGGCAACAAACATGAATTATTGGTTGTTTACAGTGTAATAAATCTCAGTTATTCGATGATGGTGTAATTATGCAAAAACATACATAAACGCATACGACAGTTATAATAAATTATGTTTGGTGGTAATTAAATCGCACGAACATTTAAAGTAAAATTAATAATTCTAAAATTTTGCGAAGAAAAATCGGCTAATCAATATTTTTTACGACGCGAGAGCTTTTTGATTAGATTCGAGAGAGAGAGATAGATACAGAGAAACAGAGAGAGTGAAAGAGAGATAAGAAAATAGAACTCTTGTAGGCAACTGAAAAACTTACCGATTAGCCATCTGTCAAACTAATCGAGCACTCAACAGTTTATGTTAAGAAAATTAGTACAATGAATGAGTATTTTTCGGCAGGTCTTGAGTCCAAATACCGGCCAAAGCAAAAGCAACTTCCATCTAACGTATTCTCTGAATCCCTATAGACTCTAAACTTTTGAATTAATTTTGAACTCGTATTCCAGTTCCAGCTCAAGCTACGACCAAACTTATCGTAAGACCCATCTTACCTTTTTCGTTTCCGAATGTCTTCTTTTCCGTTTATTTGTGATTTGTGTAACTTTGATTAAAAAAAAACTGTTTATTTAATTTAAAAGAGCCGGTTTCAGTGAGATAGACCTACAAGTTTATGCAGTTAACACGACGCATGTTTGATTACATGAGATCACGTCATCATATCGAGTTTAATATGTCGGATAATGAAAACCTGACACAAATACTTAGTGAGAGCGCAATACTCTCCCGACTAAGAGTCTCCTCAGATACTACAATTATTTTGTAGACCGTTATACCATCGCAAGTATGACCTGTGGTGAGAGCATTTCGTTCTATATACTACCACATATATTATTCTCTTCATTGGCACCAATTGCACACAGCTTCCTTAATAGTTGAGTTCATTTTGACAATTTGTGTATGCGATCAAATCGAAATTCCCGATATCACAACATTTATTTTATTACAATATATTTACCTCCAATTTCTCTCTTTCGTCAATTTTGCAGAAGGCTGTTACTACAATTACAATCACTACAATGAGGGCGATAGAATATTGACGAATGAACCCTGTCTGAATTGTACCTGCCACAATAAGATGCTCATGTGTTATCTGCGTGTCTGCCCTTTCACGAAACCAATCGGTCACGATTGCATTGTGGAGAAACGTGAAGATCAGTGCTGTCCAATTATCACATGTCCAGAGGGTAAGTTACCATGCTGATCATTTCAGCTCAATTCATTAGTGACGGCGTTACTTATATTCAAATCTCATACACATTCTCTTCTACTCCTACTCTCCTACACACATAGTACCAGTTGATATTGCGCATCATGCACCCGAACCAGGCACTGAACTCAGCATTCCCGAGAAATATGGCTGCAGTATCGACAGCAAATTCTATCCAGAGGGCGCACAAGTACCATCAAATCCAAATAAGCCTTGCGAGCTGTGTTATTGCATCAAGAACCGCACATCGTGTTTAATGCAGGAATGCACGCTGCATATTGACGGTTGCACGCCCATCTACAATAAGGGTTCATGCTGTCCCGTACGTTACAATTGCGGTAAGTTTGCCAGTGATTTTACGACCACTAAAATTTCGGAGAAATCCAAATTAATTTGAAAATTTGTATCACCCCTTCCCTTTCATTTAGATCACGAGAATGACATTTTGGAATTGGAGGATCATTCGTCGACCACATCCACCACTACCACGGAACGTCCAACGCCTGGTTTCATACTCACAACCACCATGTCGCCCTCGGTCTCCACCGATTGTGTACACAATGGCGAACTTTACGCCGATGGCGCATCCATCACTGGCCAAAGCGCCTGCGAACATTGCTATTGTATGCGCGGAGATATTGTTTGTGCTGTACAAAAATGTGACATGCCAATGTTGGCTAGCAATGGCAAGAGTTGCCATGCATTACCACCAGCCGAAGATGAGTGCTGTCCAAGCAATTATGTCTGCGACGATGACTCAGCCACAACGGAAGCCTTTGAAACCACTACTTTGCCGTACGTTAAGGAAGAAGAAGCAGTTACTGCTACAACCGATAAGGGTCTGCATGTTTCCATTCCAGCGGAGGATATGGAACTACAAGAACACATTGATGAACATAAAGAAAAAAAGGTGTCCACCGACAAGCCTGAGATTGAAGCCGAACAACCAGTGGAAAGTAAACCTGCCGATCAAGTTACTACTTCAACTCCTGATTTGGCAGCAATTGGTGCCACCGAAACCGCGGTAACAGCAGAATCCGAAGAAGCCCAAAAGGAAGAAGGCATTGAGGATGTTGAGCATATTACCACTGTTAAATCAGAAGTTTCGACCGAAGAATCGACAAGTACTGAGGCTGCTGAGCATGTATACGAAACAACAGCTGCACCTGATGGCACCAAACGCATTGGCATTGATATTGGCGAGCATGACGAGGCTACCGCTGAGCCAGCCGCTGAAGAAGAGGTCACTACAGTACCAAGTATTCATGTGGAACATAAGCCAACAGTTGAATTCGAAGACAGAATTGATATAGAAACAGGTAAGCCGATTAGCGATGAGGCAGTAACAACTGTTCAACCAACAATCGCTGAAATACCAACTACAGTGTCGACACCAACGAAAGCTGATAAGGAATCCGGTGAAGATACAAGCGCTGAGAACGTCGAAAGTGAGGAATCAACAGAAACATCTGAAGAAGCTATTGCTTCACATGAGAAACCAACCAGCACGCAACGGCCCGTCGTTGAGAAAGAAAGTTCTGAGGAATCCACAGAAGTTGCGGAACAAGAAACCATCACAAAACAACCAATCGTTATTGTATCTGAAGAGGAGCCAGAAAAACCCACTACACAGCAGCCCATCGTCGAAAAAGAAAGTGCTGAAGAATCCACAGAGGTTGCGGAGCAAGAAGCAACCACTAAACAACCAATTGTGGTTATATCTGAAGAGGAAGAAGAGAAACCCACAAGCACTGAAGTCAGTAAGGAGAGCGGCGACGAATCAACCGAGTCTGCAGAAGCTGAGGTATCGACACAACAATCCACCGAAATCTCTAGTTCTGAAGAGGAAGTACCCGATATGCAATTGCCAGCAGTTATACCAGGAGAAGGTGACTGTTTGGTCGGCCACAGGACATACGAAAACAATACGATTATACCTACAGCGGATGAATGCGATGTCTCTTGCAAGTGTATTAGCAGCATTGTTGTCTGCCAGAAAATTAAATGCGATATCCCAGCAGATATTAACAGGTGCGTTATTGATCAAGCCAGCTCTACCAAATGTTGTCCAGCATATATCTGTGAACCACAAGCAACTGCAGCAACTACAGCGCCTATCGCGCAAGATGAAGAACAGTCCACAGTTGCTTCTTTCTCCGATATTGACATACATGTTGCTCCTACTGAGCAGCCAATGTCTCATGTCAAGGAAGAAGAGCCAGAAATTGTAGAGAGTACAGCTGCTCCAGGAATTGACCAATCGGTATCGATTACCGAAAGTGGTGAGGAAATCGGGGCAGCTCCAGCTTCGCCTATCGCACCTACTGCTGAAACTGAAGAAGAGAAGACTACTGCCGCACCTATCGTCGACGCTGAACATATTGAAACTGCTACGGGTGTGCCATCTGTCGAAGAAGACAATGTCACTATTGCTCCAGAAACTCCTGAAATTGAAAAGGCCACAGTTGCGCCAGCTGCTGAGGACGTTGAGAAGATTACTTCCGTGCCTGAAGGAGTTGTTCCATCTATCGAAGTAGACACAACCACCATTGCTCCGGAAATTACTGAAATTGAAAAGGCAACAGTTACCCCAGCTGCCGAGGAAGGTGAGAAGGTCACTGCTGAACCTGAAAAAGTAAGTGTGCCACCCGTGGAAGAAAACATAGCCAATATAGAGCACGAAATTCCTGAAATCACTGAAATTGAAAAGACAACAGTTGCCCCAGCTGTCGAGGAAGGCGAGAAGATTACTGCTGTACCTAAAGAAGAAGAAGGTGTTTCATCTATTGAAAAAGTTACCATTGCTCCTGAAATTGCCGAAATTGAAAAGGCAGCAATTGCTCCAACTGCTGAAGAAGGTACTGCTCCACCAGAAGAAGAATCAGTTTCCGATGTCGAAAAGCCAACAGTGTCACCGGTTTCTGAGGAGGTTGAGAGGCCAACATCTCGCCCTGCAATCGTTGAAGGTGAAAAGGTGGAAGTTTCTGAACAGGTTACTGTTGGCCCCGTCGTTGAAGATATTGACAGGACTACTGTCGCTCCTGTTGCTGGAGGTCCTGAGAAGGTCACTATTGCACCTATTACCGATGTTGAAGACATTGAAAAGGTCACTTCAACTTCGGTTGAAGAAAGACCAGAGAAGGTTACCTCAATCCCTGCTGCAGAAATTGATGAAGCCACAGCTGCACCAATTGCTGAAGAACAAGGAAAACCAACTACAGCTCCTGGAATTGAAAACATTGCAGAGGTTACTACTGCAACATCTGCTGAAGAAGCAGGCGTCACTGGTACTCCTATTGCTACTGAAGGAGAAGCAACCGCTCCAGAATCTGAACCAATTGCTGAGGTTACTCCTGCTCCCGGTATCGAAGACATTGAAAAGGTTACCGTTGCTCCTATTTCTGGCGATGCAGAAAAGGAAGTTGACACAACTCTTCCGCCAAGCGATGCAATTGAAAAGACAACTAGTGCTCCAACAGTTGAAGGGCCTGAGAAAGCTATTAGTGAAGAATCCACTGCTACGATTGCGGATGAAGAAGGTGAGAAGGCCACTATTGCTCCTGACGTTGAAAATACTGAAAAGGTTACTGCTGCACCTAGTGCCGAGGAGGAAGGACATTTCACTCCAGTCACTGAACAACCCGAAAAGGCTAATGGTGAAGAAGCTGAGGAGCCCACTGCTATTCCAGTTGATGAAGAAGTCGAAAAGGTCACTTCTGCTCCTACTGTCGAAGGAATTGAAACGATTACTACAGCTCCTATATCTGGCGATAAAGATAAGGAAATTGAGCATATCACAACTGTTCCTGCAAGCGATGAAATCGAGAAAACCACTAGTGCTCCTGCCGATGAAGATGGAGAAGTTGGGGAGACTGTTAGTGGTCCAGTTGACAAGGATGTTGAGAAGGCTACTCCCATTTCTATTGGTGAAGAAATTGAAAATATTACTTCCGCTCCTAGTGCTGAAAAAGAAGAAAAGATTGAAACTGAAGAGACAACTAGTGCTCCTATTGCAGAAGAAGGCGAAAGGACTACGACTACTCCCGTTGTTGAAGATGTGGAGAAAATCATCTCTGAGACTAGTACTGATGCCTCTGCAGTTCCTACCACCGAAGAAGAAAAGAAAGAAACTTCTACTCCTGGTGCTGAGGAAATAGAGGAGACAACATCCGCTCCTCTGGGCGAAAGCGTAGAAAAGGTTACTGCTGAGCCTACTTCCGAAAAAGGTGAGAAGGTTAGCGCTACTCCAACTGTCCAGGAAATTGAGAAAACAACTGTTACTGCCATCGTGGAAGAAACCGACAAATCTACCGCTGCTCCAGTTGCCGAAGAACCTGAAGATAAGGTCACTACTGTTCCTGTTATTGATGAAGCTGAAAAGGTTACACAAGCTCCAGATGAAGAAGAAATTGCATCGATTACTGGTATTCCACGTCTTGACTTGGATATCGAAGAGCAATTGGGTACTGCCGCTCCTACGATGGTTGCAGATGAAAAAGAAACTGAAAGTGTGGCGGAAGACGAAAAGGTCACTACTGTCCCTGAAATTGAAACGGTTGACAAAGTTACTGCAACTCCCGAAATTGAAGAATCCGAGGGAAGTGGGCAGGTTAAGGAAAGTGAAAAGGTCACTGTTGCTCCTGAAATCGAAGGTCTTCCTAAAGCTACTGCAGCTCCTGAAACCGAGGAAGCCGAAGGAAGTGGACCGGTTACATCCGAAGGCGAAAGTGTTGAAGAAGGTGAAAAGGTCACTGCTGCTCCTGAAGTCGAAGGTGTGTACAAAGCTACTGCAGCTCCTGAAGTCGGGGAAGCCGAGGGAAGCGGACAGGTTACATCAGAAGATGAAACCGTTGAAGAAGGTGAAAACGCTACTGCTGCTCCTGAAGCCGAAGGTGTGCACAAAGCTACTGCAGCTCCTGAAGTCGGGGAAGCCGAGGGAAGTGGGCAAGTTATACCTGAAGGTGAGAGTGTTGAAGAAGGTGAAAAGGTCACTGCTGCTCCTGAAACCGAAGGTTTTGACAAAACTACTGCAGCTCCTGAAATTGAAGAAACCGAGGGAAGCGGACAGGTTACTCCTGAAGGAGAAATTGTTGAAGAAGGTGAAGAGGTCACTACTACTCCTGAAATCGAAGGTGTTCACAAAACTACTGCAGCTCCTGAAATTGAAGAAACCGAGGGAAGCGGACAGGTTACATCAGAAGGTGAAAGCGTTGAGGAAGGTGAAAAGGTCACTGCTGCTCCTGAAATCGAGGAAGGTCTTAAAAAGATCAGTGATGTGCAGCAAAGCGAAGATGTCGAAAAAATTACGTCTGCACCAGCACCATCAGAAGGTGTGGAGAAATCTACAATTGCACCTGAACTCGAAAGTGTTGAAAAAATCACTACTGCACCTACTTTCGAGGAGACTGAGAAATCAACAGCTGCTCCTGCACAGGAAATCGAAGAAGCCGAAAAAACGACTGTCTCTCCTGACACCTCATTATTCGAAAATGCGGAGAAAACTACCCGTACACCAGAAATTAAAGATATTGATAGAGTCACAGCAGCTCCTGCTCGCAAAGAAACTGAAAAGACTCATGTCGCTCCTGAACACGGAGAAGGTGAAGTTTTGGAGAAAACTACTCTTGCTCCTGAATTCGAAGTTGTGGATAAGATTACTATTGTTCCTGATATCGAAGAATTTGAAACAATTACCGTCGCTCCTGGAATCGCAAAGGATGAAGTTCCTGAAACTGAGGAAATCGATAAAGTTATCACCGTTCCTGACACTGAAGAAATTGAAAAGCCTAGTGACGCTGACCATGTTGAGGAAGGTGCTGAGAAGGTCACAATTACTCCTGAAGTCGAAGAAATATCTACTTTTGCGCCCACAATCGAAATTGACGAAGTTTCTGAAATCGAAGGAGTCGATAAGATTTCTGTTACTCCTAGTAGTGAGGTACCTGAAAAGGAAACCGTTGCTCCTGCTATCGGAGGTGATAAATTTTTGGAAGGTACTACTCCTGCTCCTGCTATTGGTTCCGAAGGAATTGAAAAGGTCACTTCAACTCCGATTGCAGAAGAGCCCGAGAAGGAAGACTTTGACAGAACCACAGTTACACCTCCTGCTGAAACGGCAACTAAAGTCACGTATGTTCCAACAGTTGAACAGCCTCAAGAAGTTACTTCTGCACCTGGAGTTCAAGATGTTGATCATGAAAAAGTCACATCCGTTCCTGCGGTCGATGAAGAATTCGACAGGGCTACTGCAGCTCCTAAAGTGGATGCTGGAATCGTTGTTGATGATAGCAAGAAAGAAACGGATGATTCTGAAATTCAAAAAGCAGATCAGTACACTACTGTTGCTCCAACTGAGGAAAGAACCGAAGGTATTACTATCGTTCCTCGCTTGGACTTGGACATCGAAGGAGCTACCGGTCAACCTATTGTACCAGCTCTAGTAGGCATAAATGTTACTCCTGCTCCAGCAGTAATAGCTGATTTAGATTCAGTAGAGGAAAGCGATACATCAGTAGAATCAGAAGAAAGCACAACTGAGCACAAGGTACAACACATTGGAGAGTTCGTTACGGATCATATCTTGCATAGCACTACTGAAAGTGCTATTACACCCATTGAACCATCCAAGGACGAGTTGGAAGCTTCTGGTGAAGAAAGCGAAGATATTGAGAATATAACTGTTGAACCTGCTTTAAAACCACAACTTGTCGGCGCAGACATGATTGCAGTTACAGATAAGCCTACAGCCGAGGAAGAGACCACGAAACATGAAATCATCGAGGAAGCTCAACCAGCGTTGGATGAGGCAGATAAGAAGAAACAACCTGCTCCCGCTGCTCCAGAAATTGAGGAAGAAAAGGAATCTGTGACTCTCAGATCTGATGTCGAAATTGAAGCCCCAGTAACATCGAAACCCGAAGAGGAGGCAGAGCAACAAACGTCAGCTAAACCACAAGACGTGGTCGAAAAACAAGAATTTGTCACTGCTGTTCCGGAAATAGGAATTAACAAAGAAGACCAATACACTACTGCCAAACCTTTAGTGGAGGATGCTGGAGCCGTTACTGAATCTTTAACTGCATCAGAAGAAGAGAAGCAACCAGCGACAACCAAACCTCAGAGCGAAACTGAAGCAGAAAAACAACCTTCCACTGTTAAGCCTGAAGTCGAATCTGAAGAGGAAGAACAACCGGTGACAGCTATACCCGAAGTTGAATCTGATATCACAGCAACAGGCGCTCCTGAATTCGAATCCGGAGAGGAGAAACAACCTACAACAGCTCAACCTGAACTCGAAGCTGAAGTAGAAAAACAGCCTGTTACAACGATTCCCGAAATTGGATCCGTAAAGGAGGAACAACCATCGACAGGTAAACCTGTAGTCGAATCTGAGATCCCCTCAACAGCTGCTCCAGAATTCGAATCTGAAGAGGAGGCACAACCAGCGACAGCCAAACCTCCGACCGAATCTGATGAAGAAAAGATCCCAGCAGCAGACGTTCCTGTAATTGAGTCTGAGGAAGAAAAACAACCTGCCACAATTTCACCTGAAATTGAATCAGAAGAGAAGAAACAACCAGCGACAGCTAAGCCTGAAGTTGAAGCTGAGATCGCAGCAACAGCCGCTCCATATGTCGAATCCGAAGAAGAGAAACAATATTCAACATCTGAACCCGAAATCGAATCCGAAGAGAAAGAACAATCAGCGACAGTCATGCCTCAGGTCGAATCTGCTAAAGGAAAGATCCCAGCGATAGCCACTCCTGTGACTGAATCCGATGAAGAAAAACAATCTACAACAGTTAAACCTGAAATTGAATCCGAAGAAGAGGAACAACCAGCGACACTTAAGCCTGAAGTTGAATCTGAGATCACAGCAACAACCACTCCAGAGCTCGAATCCGAAGAAGAGAAACAATCTGCAACATCTGAACCCGAAATCGAATCCGAAGAGAAGGAACAATCAACGACAGTCAAACCTCAGGTCGAATCTGATGAAGAACAGATCCCAGCAATAGCCGCTCCTGTGAGTGAGTCCGCTAAAGAAAAACAACCTGCAACAGTTAAACCTGAAATCGAATCAGAAGAGGAAGTACAACCAGCAACAGCTAAACCTCAAGACGAAACTGAAGAAGAAAAATCACATACAACAGCTACACCAGAAATCGAATCCGAAGAGAAGGAGCAACTAGCGACAGCTAAGCCTGAAGTCGAATCCCAAAAGGACGAAGAACTAGCGACTGTCAAACCTCACGTCGAATTTGATGAAGAAAATATACCAACATCAGCCATTCCTAAAGTCGAATCCGAAGGAGAAAAGCAATCTGCAACAGCTAAGCCTGAAAGCGAAACCGAAGAAAAGGAACAGCCAGCGACAGCTCTGCCTGAAGTCGAAGCTGAGATCCCAGCAACAGCGGCTCCTGAGGTCGAATCAGAAGAAGAGAAACTACCTGCTACAGCTAAACCTGAAATTGAATCCGAAAAGGAGGAACAATCAGCGACAGCTAAGCCTAAAGTCGAATCTGAAATCCCAGCAGCAGCCTCTCCTGAAGTTGAATCCGAAGAAGAAAAACAACCTACCACAGCAAAGCCTGGAGACGAAACCGACGAAGAGGAACAGCCAGTGACAGCTAAATCTCAAGTCGAATCTGATGAAGAAAAGATCACAGCAACAGGTGCTCCTGTAACTGAATCGGAAGAAGAAATACAACCTGCAACTACTAAACCTGAAATCGAATCCGAAGAGGATGAACAACCAGCCACAACTAAACCTCAGGACGAAGCTAAAGAAGGAAAACCACATACAACAGCTAAACCCGAAATCGAATCCGGAGAGGAGGAACAACCAGCGACAGCTAAGCCTGAAGTCGAAGCTGGGTACCCATCATCAGCTGTTCCTGAAGTCGGATTCGACGAAGAAAAGCAACCTGCAACAGCTAAACCGGAAATTGAGTCCGAAGAGGAGGAACAGCAAGCGACAGCTAAGCCTCAAGTCGAATCTGATGAAGAAAAGATCACACCAACAGCTACTGCTGAAACTGAATCGGAAGAAGAAAAACAACCTCCAACAGCTCAACCTGAAATTGATTCCGAAGATCAGGTACATGCAGCGACCGCTAAACCTCAAGTCGAATCTGATAAAGAAAAGATTCCTGCAACAGCCACTCCTGCATCCGAATTCGATACAGAAAAAGAATCAGCTACAAGCAAACCAGAAGGTGAAGTCGATGAGGACAAAGAAACTGCATCAGCCCCACTTACGCCTGGAGCTGAATCGGAAGCTGAGAAGCAGCCAACAGCAACCAAAACAGATGCCGATATTAGCGAAGAGCAACAAACAGCAATTGTACAACCGGTTTCCGAAACAGAAGGTGAAAAGCAACCCACTCCTACAGAAGAAGTGCCCAGCAGCTCCACTGAAAAGGCAGAAGTATCTGGAGAAGAGCCTGAAGTCAGTTCAGAAGAGCAACAAGGCATCACAACTGTGCATCCGCTATTCCCACATATTGTTACCACACTGCCAACGCCAGCTATCGACAGTCGAGTTGACGTCGCCGCCAATACAACTGCGCTGCCCGAAATTCTCACGGAAACCACCACACCCACAAATCTCATCGCCAGTGATGTGCTCATTACCACACAACCAACCATCACACATTATCCACCACCGGCGCCCGTTTACGGACAATATCCATCCTACAACGATGAATATCCCGACGAAGATGAATCTGAGGTCTTCGGTCCCGGCACCTGTCGCTATGGCGGCAAACTTTACGTATCCGCACAGCAAATACCACGCGACGATCCCTGCGATTTCTGCTTCTGTTTCCGAAGTGACATTATCTGCTTGCAACAATCTTGCCCGCCACCAATTGCCGGCTGTCACGAGGAACCGATCTCTGGTTTCTGTTGTCCACGATACGAATGTCCCGTGTCGATGGCAACCGTACTGAATATCACCACCAGTACGACAACGACCAGCACAACACTGCCGCCACACTTCCTGCATCACTCGTATGGCGGTGCGGTGCAACGTAACGGCTGTCTGATCAACGGCCGATCATACAAGGTTGGCGAAAAGATCGAATCGACGAGCGGTCCCTGCATCAATTGCACGTGAGTATTGAATTTTAATTATTTATATTACTTTCTATTGCTACTTGTCACAGCATGAAACTGATGATTTGCTTTTTTTTTTTTTTGTGAAATTTTTGCAGTTGCGGCGGCGATGGAAAGATGAAATGTGATCCTCAGGCGTGCGTGCCCGAACCCACGATGCAGCAGGTGATGGCTGTTGTGGCGACCGGCCGGAAGAGATGAAATAATCGCTAAGCATAAGCGCTTACGCATACAACACAGCAGATAAGAAACACGCACACATACACAAACACAAAGCAAGACTAGTGAACATAAATGAATCTGCAAACCGGTGCCAAAACCACAATGAAACATTATGGAATTATGGAGGAGTCGAAGCAAATGTTGTAGAGACGAACAAAAACTATACAAAAATTAAACAAAAAAAAAACAACAACAAATATAAAAACGAATGTTTTCGAGGCGAAAAATGAGTTGGGCACACATACCTACATACATATCTGCGTATGTGTTGTATATGTAGCTCCTTTATTTCTGCTTTGAACACATAAACCCTTAATATTATTTTAATTCTTAGGTATATACTATATTTATACATAAATATTATTATTTTTTTTTGTTTTTTTTCGAACTAGCAAACGAGCAAACAACCAGTGATATTGTGCTGTATACCTAGTATAGGTGCAATTAACAATTTTTAATTAAGGACGCACTTACTTAAGCGAAATTTTCGTTTGTAATTTGTAATTGTAAAAAAACAACAACAAAAGCAAAGCAAGCAAACGAACCTAACGTAATTTTATATAAAAACAAAAAACAATAAATTGTAGTAGTGTTTGTAACGTAGTTCTTTGTGCGCGAACGATTGCAGCGGCACGACGTGCAAGAGAAGAAAAAACAGTTAAGACATGTGCGAATATTCAAGAGACTCTCACTAAAAAAAAATATGTTAAAAGCGAAAACACCAACCCGCATGTATCGTGTGGCGCGCATATTGTGGCTGCCACAAAGAATAACGTTATGAATTGTAAAAACTTTGCCATTAACTATATTTGTATTCGATATATATATATATTTAACCACTATGCTAGACACGCACTAGCGCCTAATTGTAGACTATGATTTTTACTAATTTTTAAATGCGACACTGCAACGAACTTTTTTAATAAATATTTATAATTTTTAATGTTGCTACTAGTCTTCTTATATTGTACGAGCAACAGCGGGAAAAAACGAAGCAATTAATTAGTAAAAAAAATTTTTTTAAAAATTGATATTCATTTTTCAAATTTTTTTTAAATTAATTTTAGTTTTAATTATCAAATTATTTTAAATATTTCTTTTTTCAAAATTTATATTTTCAAATAAAATTTTTTTTTTAATTTCTATCACAACAACAAAAACACGCGCTTTTTATGTTTCCTTAATGTGTTGCTAAACGAATTTACAAAATAAGTTTTTCCTTAATGCATAAAATTGCTGAGTCATTTGATTTTATGCGCTCCTAGCTTAGTTCTACCCTTCACACATGCGCAAAAATACTTTTAAGCATATTAAAAATAGTTATTGTATATTGTAATATGTATGAGACTAGCCGTCTAGCAAACGCATAAGGCGTGGCAGAGCAAGCTGTGTGCGCAGGCGTAAAATTTTGTCAGCGCACGCAGCAGAGAAACGTTTTGTAAAGTTAAAGCAACACATACAAGTATGAATATATTATAGTTTAGTGAACACAAGTTAATATAAATATAAATAAAAAATATGAATAAAACCGTATATATCACTAATGCTCGACTGATTGAAAATTTTTTAACCTTAATGTTAAACGCATAGTCTTTAATAGAAAACAATTAATAATAAACAAAATACGTACGAATGTAAGTTTATATGTAACTATTTGTAATTAAAACAACACAAACCACAATAGCAATGAACTTTTCTACACTAAATGCAACGAAACGTAAATGAAAGTATATACTTAAGTAAAACTACATATGTATGTGTATACACGCATACACGCATAGTTATGTATGGCATGCGGCAACTATAAATAATTAATAATTAAAGCGCAAACGCACTTAGTATTAGCGAAAATAGTAACTTTTTAACGCAATTTTCAGTCACTTGAGCTTTAGCAGTGAAATTTCCACGGGCGGCATTTATGTAAAACCCCCGAGATATTCACTTTTTTATACACCTAGGTTAAAGCAGCAAAAAAAATGTATTAAAATAATATATAGTATATTGATTAAAGTAAAAAATACGAATTATGCAATTAAAGTAAAAATAAAAATAAAAACAAAAACACAGCGAATAGTTCAGAAAAATAAAACTGCTTAGTTATATCTACAATTAAACGCATAAAAAGTAGTATATGAAAAATAACGGAAAGTAACCATACCAATAACTGAACTTACTACACAAACAGTTACATATTATGCAACACTTGCGTACGTAATAAATAATTGCAACACAACAATAGAACACAATATTATATAAAAACAAACACTTAGATTTTATATAAAAAGTAAAATTAAAGTATAAGTAATTCAGTATGCAATAACACGCACACATACATATGTATAAGAAATTGTGTGCGCACAGCTCAAGTTAATGATTTTTAAATATTTTCCTTAAACAATATTTTGTTTATTTTTCAATTTTTCTTTTTGTTTGCCAATTTGTAAATGTGGTATAATCTGTACAATTCGCACTTGTCAGACAAGAATTGGGGCTTAAATCAATATTAATATTATAATTAAACTATAATGAAATAAACGAAATAATGAATATATTCGCGCGTGTAATCGCAATTGTAGATATTAAACTGAACAATTATTTCTATTATCAATTTTTTAATTTTTTTATAACTCAGTTTTAGCTATAACTTAATACGATATTATATATAAGTAAATATTATTATAATAATTTTTTATATTTTGTTCGAAATAAAAGACGATAATAAATTATTGTATGAAATGTAAAAAAAAATTGTGTTTTTGTTAAATGGAACATATAATAACATAAGTGTAAAGATATTGTCCGTAAACTTGGGTATAATTTTTATGTCGCTACAACAACAATTTCGTACCCTGAGGTTCTCGTTAGCTATCTTTTAAATGTAGACATATAGCAGTAAAACAGAAAATATTTACTTGAATTCCTTCCCGACTCCCATTGGTTCAATATACATATATTATTTATAAGCAAATCTAAACAAAACAAACAAGTAAGGAGGGGATATGTTCGAGTGTAACCTTAAATTTTAATCTCTCACAAACTGCAAATCTTAAAGACGGGGGAAATACTTTCAGTGGTTGCGTGAGAAATCAACATGTATTATCCAAAGAAACCAAATGGTCTAGACCAATTCGATTCATATACAACACTAAACCACATTATTTTTATCAAAAATATCACACACACATTTTCAGAACTAAGCTGTTTTGGCTCAAGTGAACAATATGGGAAGTAGGCGGACTTGCTTTCCAATTTTAACAACGAAACAAAAGATGGTCGATATAGTGTTATGCACCAAATTTGGTTGAAATTGGTCAAGTATTTCCTTAGATATACGATTTTACTTAAAGGGGGGCGGAGCTGTAATCATTGAGCAATTTTTAAGAAATGTATGTATACATATATTCCCGCCTCAGCCTTTTGATATTTGTATTTAAAGTTCAAAAATTTTAATGTTTAAGACACTTTGCACACCGTTTGCAATTATTATTTCTTTATTTTTCATTATTTCATTAAAAACCACCAGCATAAACCAATTTCCCATCAAAACACACAAACTAATAACACTCCTTTATTCGCTATAATTACTTAAATAACATGACTTTTCTGAAAATACAAAAAAAAAAAACTCGAATTTGAATTTGAATTTGAATTTGAATTTAATATAAATAGACTACTCAATATCTGTATATATAAATGTAAAAAATATTCTAACGTCATTCCATACTCGATCACTCATTGAACAGCGTTATCAGCTGTATATGGAAACCTAGCTGTGTTTCGTGACCATATAAGTAATTTAATCATTAATTACATATTTTACTTATAAATAAAGATCTAAAAAAAATATTATAAACAAAATAAATAAATATATATATTTTTACAATTACAAAATATTGTAGCAGACAATTTTTAAAGCATTAAAAACTTTCAGTCTCCAAAATTTAATTATCTCTTAATTTTAATATTTATCGATAACTTCTGTATCGATTTAACTGAAAACAGCTGTCTATTGACATTTGCCTTCTTGAATTGAGAAATTAACACGGCATTACTTCGTACGGAATATTTTCTTTCTATAAAATAAACGAACTAATTTTGCAGATATGACTGGCAGATTAACAACAAAAACTGGCGAAATTGTCGCTTATAGTGAGGCTGCTATACGCGGTAATATTTCAGCTGTAGAATATTGCCGTACTTCGATGGCTGCACTGTCTGGTTGTGCTGCAGGTAAGCTTCAATATTATAGAATTGAATATGCCTACAAACAAGCATTAAAAACCAACATATATTTTGCAGGTATTTTAGGACTGAATGGACTGCTTGGATTTTTGTTTTACTTTCTATCAGTATTCGTGTTGTGGTTGCTGGTTTTGGCAAAATCCGGCACACAGTGGCGTAAATTTTTCATTAATCGCCAGAGTTTGCTGACCAACAATTTCATGGGCGGGTTATGTACATACGTTCTATTTTGGACGTTTCTCTATGGCATGGTACATGTTTATTAAAATAGGTTTTATGGTATAGATGCGTATAACTTTTATAATAAAATAAGGAACTTTATAGGACATTTAATATTAAAGAAATACAACTATGTGTATGTATTATATATCAGGATATGAAAGTGTTTTAATGTATAAAGAGTGGCTTGCTACAGAGGCAATTATATTTACACATATATTACAAAATTATGATCATGAGCCGAGAGCAACAAGTCATTTTAGACTCAACAACATTTTATGAAGACGTTCCTGCAACCATCTTTTGCACCGGAGCTATAATATTCTTTACATAGGCATTTCTTATAGCATGAAGGATATAGAAAGATCTTTATCTTGATTTTGATCGGTTAGTTTGTATGGCCAATATATGGTATAGTGGGTCACATAGTATTGTAATTATATGCTGTAGTAGTCCGGATAATAATACATTCCGAATTTCCTGAACATATCTTGTCAAATATAAAAGTTTTCCTTACAAGGACATATTTTGATCGTTCAGTTTATATGTACTTAGAGGTTCGATATCGACGTGAGCAAAATTTCAGATCGATTTCTCAAAAACTGAGGGACTAGTTTGCGTATATAAAGACAGACGAACACGGATAAATGGACATAGCTCGTTTATAAGGTCTCCGACGTGTCCTTATTTGTGTTACAAAGTAAGTGGCAAACTAAATTATCCTATTCAGTTTATAAATATATATGCACATATTAAACTAAAATCTTTTCATCCCGATCTCTGGTATAAGTCACTTTTTATTGAACTAAGGAACTATAAAGTAAGTTTTAATTTTAAATAAATTCATACAAAATGAGAGAGAACAACTTTATTACGAGTTTATAGCACAGTTGATTCCACCAAGAACAATTATGTGGACATAGCAGAAGCGGCTGCGGCATTGCCAGAACAATCACACCAAGGTGTTTCTTTAATGTCACATTCGAGCAGAATATTTAAAACAGTTATCGAGACACCATCTATAGCCATTTCATGGACTTTCAAAATTTTATAGTTTAACGTATTCAGACCTGTTTGTCGATCACGTTTACGTGTAACTTCTTTTTGATTAAAACACTTTTGTGTATCGCGTTTGCGGTGATAACGGTTATGTATATGACTGCAATAGAGTAAGTATATTAGTCGAATGTTGTGAAAAATATTTGATTTTTAAATACCTAAATGTATCGTTGACTCCAGTATTAATATTTTCTGGTCGCGTAACTCTTAATCCAGCGTCTCTAATACGTACATAAAATTCGTCATCTTCCAAACCCCAACCCCAGTATTTATTCGACATCCCATTAACTTGTTTAAAGTGTTCACAACGCACTAACAGAATGCCGCCTACAAATGTTTCATAGTGATACTTGGGATGTAAATCAGGTGCTGCTATATGATGTGGACCAGCTGCGCTTGGATATTTATAAAGCAATGCATCGTTCATTGGCAATAAGTCCACATCATGCATGGCAATATAGTCATACACGCCACTAGTGAAACGAAAACCAACATTTATAAGTGAAGCGCGGTTAAAACGATACCGGTCTACTTGATTAAGTAGAAATATTTTGTGAACTACGCCTTGGCGTTTGAGGAACTTTGTCATGTGTGGCACAAATTGCAGTAATTCTTCGAATCGATCACGAAATGGCACTAATACAGCCAACTTGTGTTCTGCTTTCACCTCAGTGCCATCTAACTCAGAATGCACATTATACAATTCGGAGCTAGCCTTCTTTTGACCGCGACTCAGTGGACAAATGCAATCTACGAAAAGAAAAAACCAAATTTTGTGGATTTTGGACACACATACACTTATGTTTTTTACTGAAGTTGCGTTACCTGAGCCCAATGGCATGAAACTCAATACGACTACTCCTCCTAAACAAAATGCCAGTCCACACACAAATAGCCAGTTGATAGTTCCTATTGAAAGCATTGTATCTTTCTTCTTCATACCACTCGTAGTTGTTCGAAAAACACCTTGGCCTTGTTCACTATCATTCTCAGTGATAACCAAAGGTTTAATTAACTTTTATAATGTTTCTAGCATGAAATATATTCGACGTTTACTTTTAACAGCTAAAGTTTATTAATAACAATTTGAGAATAGAGTTTAAAATAAATATTTTGTTCCAGCTGATTGTCAATAAAGCGTTGCCATAGTGTTGGATTTGAATTGTTTACGAGCGGATTTTACAAAATTATTTGGATTATGTATGGTGTTTTGTAAATATGGGAATATAAAAGTGAATTGATAAACTCCAATACGTAGAAAGAAGTAGCATGGTTACTAACATACACCATGTTACTCAGAAGCCGTATGTGTATGAAAGGGATGAAAGATCATATGTACACAAAAACTCTCTTCAAAAGGAAACCAGACGGGTCACATGTTGCGGTTAATAAAAGGATATGAATAATATAAGAACTAAAAAAAAATCATGATTATTAATCAAGGAATATTTAAGTAGCAGGCAAAGCACATATTCAATCTGTTCAAAAGCAGTGAAAACCCCGGAGAAGAACCATCGAAAACGATCAAATCAATTATAAATTATTCCACTGTCGGCTCAAATATTGAAATGGTATTAAGTACATGCATCGCTTTCTAAATATAACATGGTGGAACGAAAGTTGGAATTTATTAAAAAGTACTCTAATAAATGTATGTATAAACCCACTTTATAGAGTCCATCTTCAGCATATAGCTTTTCCTTAAGTCCTCATCATTGTCAAAATATCCAACAAAATATAAGTTCATAACCGTTTAATCGCCAAAAGTGTCTTTATAGCAGCGTTTACTGTATTTGTAATAAAACAAGTATTTGGAAAATTGATTTACACCATACTAGTGAACGAGCGGCACATGTAAACTATGTAATCACCGTTTAGTTTATCATTTCCTTTATCTACATATTATATAATTTTATTAGTTAAATAGTCGTTACGCGGAAAGATCGCACTTGAAATTACTAAAAGATCTGGAAAGATAGTATTGGGCATGCTTTCGCGGAAATACTAATTACTAACTAGGCATTTGCTCACTTACAAGTGTGAAATTAAACTGCTAGAAAATGACTAACTGTGAAGCAGATCCTTATTTAATTGATGCTTTTCTTCTTTCGTTCAATTCGGAATTAAGCTTACTATTACAACTATAAACCGCCATGTTATTATTTAAAAATAATTATAAAAAATTTCCATTCATAGACGAAATATATTAATTCTGTTACAATCTAAACAAGCATAAATCAATGTAGTTCGGAGACGGGTTAAGACTGCAGAGGCAAGCGGCGTATGGTGGGCTTTAATCACGTCTGAGCGAATGTGTAAACATTATAAAATAAAATTATCTTTAAATGGTCGTCAGGGCAGGCGGGCGTTCTGAAATAACTTCTCAAAAATTGCCATCGAAAATTTATAGAAAACTGGAAATATAAACAACTCATTCAAGGCTCGATGATGCTGCCATACCATAATCCGGCAAGAAAAGGTACGTTTCCTGAACCACACGCGCATGTGACTCGCCCCAAAACTGACAATTTTGTTGATTGACGAAGCTACGAGTGTTAAGCTAAAAATGTGCCTCTTTTTAGAAGATGACTTTTCGAAGTATGTGAATTTGTGAATTTTTGTAAAGAACGTACATTTGCGTAATAATCTTGAACAATTTTCAATCGCTGGACCAAAGTGAAACATGACATGATAAAATGGCAAACCTTACTGAACACACTGACAAAATTTGACGCAAGTCACTAAACGATCAATTCCGCCACGAGCTATCGAAATCCCGCCGTCCCTATTGGGAGATGCTGTCTATATTATAGCTGCCATACAAACTGACCGATAAAAATCTTGTATACCTTATTAAGCTATAAGCAATGCAGCTGTGATGCAGCCGAAATAAGCTCTTTTTTTTTGGTTTTGAATTTTAGAAGTAAATCAACACATCTCTACATTTTTACCAAAGATGAAGTAAGCTGTATTGAAGAAGGACTAAGCTAAGTTCTTTGTAGTCGATTGATGTGCTTTCTTCTCCTTCTTATGGTCTTCGTTTAAAAATCCATGGAATTTCGAGTTTGTGGTAATCATGAGACTTCGATATAGCCAAAGCGAGTTAAATAGTATATAGGATAAACCTTTTAGCCTTCTCCAAACCTCTTAAACACTAAGTCAACTTTTCCTTTATTCATATTTGTACCCTTCTTAAGGATCTCTTTAGATCTTTAAAGGATTATATTAAATTCTACTATGGCTATAGCAAAAAAACTATTTGTTTATATAATTTCTATTTTTATGAGACGAAAATTGTACTTATATCAGTAATGAGTCAATAGTGAACAAAATAGTTGACGCAGCATTTTTATGATGTTATTTTAATTATTATTTACTCATACATATGCACTTAATCATGATTTTTTTTTAACTTTTTATTGACGATTTCATAGCCTCTGGTAAAAGAAGTCTCTACTAAGATTAACCACATGCAAAAACTTATGTTTACATGCACATAATCATGTTTTATAGTACTCGAATCTTAATGTGATTTAGAATAGCACTTATTTTTTATACTTATGTACATAGTGGTTTTTGAATAATGTAATCATCATTACTGTTTTTTGTAAATTACTGGAGATCCATATTAACATAGTAAATATTTAGTCATCGGTTATGCTTGCGTTGCAATCATGTTTGTACATAAACTCTAAAATATATTTCGTACAGATTAAACAATAAAAACTGGTTCCAGGTATGACTACTATGAGCACCTTCGTGATTATTTAGTGAGTATGTTGCTTTCGCATGCCTGAAATTAAATAATGGGTGAACATCGTACAACAACAACAACACGCCCTTGAGGTTTTTTGGTTTGATAAACAAGTTCCAACTAAATTGGATGTTCTTTACTTGCACTTGGGCTTGGACTTCCGTAGTAGCCAACGGCATAAATTGGTTTATCTTTTTGTATAATGTATAAAATTAAAATATCACACATGTGTGTAGATGTGTCTGTAAGTGTAAACTAATGCATATAGTGTACTTACATTTGATTAAACTATATCCATTATTTTACCAATAGATAGCTCTGGTAATCTGTGAAAAGTGTTAATGGTCTGGATAGTGTCAATCATGCACAATTGTCGAAAATATCGATAAAATAATGGAAACCATCGAGTCTGATCTTCATGTAAGCACTGTTTCGATTGTCCAGGTGCTAAACATTGCACAAAAACCGTTCGAAACCATTTAGATAAGAAACTTAAAGAACCGAATTTTCATCTGTAAACCGCTGCTAAGTCGCATCAAAATCGATCCATTTTTGAAGAGGCTGGTTACGGGTGATCAGGGTTGCAAATAATACATTAAAAAAAAAAAAAATTGTATTATATTTGAATTCAATTTTTGTTTTTGGTTTTTTAATCCCAAATACGGGGTTAAATTTTTTTTTTTTAATCGCCCATACCGGATTGAAAAAT